GACAATATTTAATACAGATATTTACATATTTAAAGAGTAAAATTGAAAAAGTTACAGAGGAGCATAATTAAATGAAAGGTTTAGTTAATGAATGCAATACAACTTATGTAAACTTACAAAAAGTGTATTTTACTCACTTTATAGAAAGTATTTTTAACACTATTTTATTGATAGGGACACCCATTACTGCTAAGAATTCTCAAGTGTTTTATACAAGGTCAAAAACGTGTCACTAGTTTCTCAGTTCTCTAACGAGCGAAATACCATCAGACTTTTAAATAATGTGAAAAAGGCTAATTAATGCTAATTTTGATCTATTTGTCAGCATTCTGCATCTAGACCTAAGCCATTTCAGTCATCGGATAAGATCACATATTGACAGGATGTGGAGGGGGAATTTTTTTGCCATAATTTTACTGGTATTAAAACTTCTATAACAATTTTCATAGAGATTTCATTTCTAGAATTTTTTAAGTACATGATTTTTTTTTTATTCCACATAAGCACAGAATTTAACGTCAGCCTCTCTGGTGCCAGACCACAGGAGATAACAAAAGGAACAAATTTGGTCTCCCTGCCTGTTCTCCATGGTCTTTACAACCATTTTTGCCTCAGTGTTCCTTCCTGTCACACTCTTGTCTTTGTGCTTTTGACTACACTGACCTCTAATCCTTAAATAGCATGAACTCCTTGTCTGCCAAGCCATACATTTCTCCTCCTTCTAAAGTCTTTCTTTCAAAAATAGCTCTTCATACCAAAATTGTTTCTTCCATCTCATATCCCTGAATTGTTGTCCACAAAAGGATTTAAAACAGAGCAGGCTGCAAAAGAGTTTGTTAACCTAAGTTAAACTCATCAAGAAGTACATACAATCAAGCAAAGCACCAGCTTGTTATGTCCCTGCTACGCAAGACCAAAGGCCACATGGGGAGGGCCACCTGCCCTGGTTTGTCTTGAACCTCCACCTCAGTGCAGAGGAAAACTCACAATTCATGGCACTGTCAGGACCAAAACACACCTCTCACCAAGCAATTCACTGCAGAACACTGCCACGCACCAGTTCCCAGCTCACCAAAACACAAGATGTAGACTGAAAAATAAAAATCTGCTGTATAATATAGATGCGGATTATTGTAACCTTCTGCTTGACAATCAGAATCACTGAACCTAGGGCAAACACACTATTCTACTTCGTTGCAAATCAATACAAGATTTTTTTTTTCCTTCCAGGAAAATACTTAAGATATATTAATGTAAAATTAGAATAAGAATTGAAACCTTAAAACTGTGATCCTTACTTGCCTATTTAAAATATGATAAAAATGTACTATTTAATTTAAATTAATCCACCCTGGCACAAACGCCTTCATTTTAAGCATGTGTATGATTATAAAACTGTAAATCTACCACAAAGCATTCTTCCAAAACCTTTGGTAAGCTTAAAGGAGAAAGATGTATGCTGGATAATATCAAAGCAACATTTCACTCACCTATCACAATAATTATTCCCCCTGCTGGGGAATAAAGCATTATGCAACAATAAGTTAATTTCTTATTTCGATCCTCTAAGAGATGAATTAAGAACCAACCTAAAATCAGAATCACTTTTTAGAAGAATTTTATTTAGTATTTTCCATGAAATACCAAAACATCTCTCATGGATAATTCTGTAACCATTACATATTTAAAACACACAGGAGTTAAATAAATTCATATACCTGATACCCACATAATCAAACTGGAGCTAATAATTCAATATATGTTATGCAGTATACCAAGTGCTGCTTTATACCTGAGATTTTTTAGGTGTATTTATTAAATGCGATATTGATTTTAATACTTATTATCTTCCTTATATTCAATTATTTCGGCTCATTTTGGTAATGAAGATGAAGTGTAAAGAAACACAGGAGCAAACTGCAACCCTACAATGTTTTTCCACTGGTCACACTCTGATCTTCTGTAAACACAGGCAAATTCAGAGAAAGTACAATGGTCTAAAACACTCCCGATTCCAGTAAATGCAATTAATCTGTGCATAAAGCAGAAGTTTTATTTATTTACAGAGATAAAGAAGATATTTAATTACTTTACAAAAAAAAAAATCACTTTTGTTTTGATTTGCATTGTATTACCCAGACACGCCTAACAAAATAGAAAAATTTACTGGTTGGCAGAGTCTCTGGTGTAAAGGTACATCACATAACAGCACAAAACTAACTTATTAGCCAGACAGATCTCCTTAAAATTATTGTTTCTGTTCCAAAGATATACAAAACATATCTAATTTGTCTTCGGCCAGATCTCCAATAACATACTTCAGGGAAAAAGATATTCTTAGCAGCTTTTGAGCTTCTCTTCTTTTTAATAAGTTATTGTTTCCCTTTGTAATGTGCAATAAATCATTTACTAGTATCATTTTTAGTAGAAATAAATTCATTGTAAGGTAGTTCTATATTGATTTGAATGAAGAATTATGGTTCAAAAATCACTTGAAATATATTAATACTAATACTCATGACAGTTAATAAAACACCGAGTTACCTTTTTTTAAAAAAGTATGCTCAAAGGCAGAATGAAGTTAAATTATTTGCATTCAGTCACATAGAGTTGTCGATGACAAAATTCAGAATTCAAGACTTACAATATTCAGACCATTAGGAAAAAAAGTCTAAGATGTTTAACTTTTAAAGACCTTAGATCAAGATCTTAAGAGTCCTGTACGCATCAAAACAGGCTTTTCATTGATTTGAAGAGCATAATATCAGGTCTTCCGAAGATTAATGTGGATAATGCATTTTTAAATATTATTCATCACTGTAAACAGTTTAGATAAAGACCAGCCCAAACTAGGAAAAAAATGTTTGCATACAACGAGAAGTATGCTAAATTTTACAACTTTGAGCCTTATGCCACTACAGTGCCAAGTAACTTCCAAATGGAGATCCTTAGCATCACTAAGAGCTTCAGTCTTAAAAACTATAAAATAGAAAGCAACTGATACATTTCTTTTTAAAATGGCATTATTGATCACATTAACAAAATAAGTAGAGAAGAAAATAAACAAAGAAAGCAGTAAAGTTCCAGCTGTATTAGAAGACACAATAAAACACGGGGCTGACCAACCACATAAATTTCCTTGAGGCACAAAACATGCTTTAAACAAAAGAGGCACCTGAACTGGTAGAAGAGTGGAAAGCAGTTATCTTTATATTTCTCTGTTTAAAAGGCTGTTCTAAGACCAGAACCACATTCTTAAATAAAATGTGCATTCTTAAATAAAAAGCGCAAGTTGGCAAAATTTTCATTCCCCTCCTACTCCCAGAAAATTAATCCTGCATCTCACAAAAGGATGAAGCCTGGATTTCTGAGTTGTGTCCTCCATCCTTTACTCTCCCCAACGCTGCCAGAGCTTCAGGAATTATCTGGGTTCTCTAGACCCTTCTACAGTACTTTGCCACATCCCTTAATTCTTGGCTGGGGAAGAGGTGGCCTGTGCTGTGTCAGATTGTGATCTCAGATGATGTTTATTAGTTGGCTAACGCACATATGCTCATTGCCAAGTCCATCTATCCTGGTAACAGTTCAATTCATGTTACAGCCTCTCTCTCAGCAGTGGCACTTGATCTAGGTTTATCTTTTCTAAGCAAATGTAGATTTTCACAGATCTCCTCTACTTTTGCCATTTCTCTCTTTCACCACAACAAATTTGACTGAAACGGTTAAAACTCCTGAGGAGCAGGAGAGCAATATTAAGTAAGTAGGCTGAATGCACAGCAAGGATGCATGAGATCCTTTTCCACAGGAAATTTGCCTTAAATATAGCAAGATGTCTATTACCACCATTAACTATTAGGAACAAACTTCCAAGACATCATTTTGACTTAACTTTACCTGAAGGTATCTGTTATTCCCTTACAGATGTGAAGTCACTCACTAACTTGGTGCAATATGATTACAACAGTGAGCACAAGCAGAATAAGGTTTACTTTTTATATTTTAAGTTATTGTTCTAGTACCTCCAAGGAAAACTCACCTTGAGAAATGAAGTCATAAACATTAGTCCCCTAACTGTGCCTGTAGCTTAGTTCTACCTGAGCAAATGAGATCAAATTGCATTTTTAAAACATTGAAGAATCACACTGCAAGAACCAACCCCTGTAACGCAGTCAATATGGCTCTGTGGATACATCAGGGAAATATTTAGAATTCTCCAAATACAGTATTTTCTGAACAATTTAATCAAACTGACCTAATACTCTGGAAAGAACTGAACAACTTTTTCCATTACACAGCACGCAAGTCCAAACCTCCTTGTAAATAATCTCCAGTGAATCAGTTAGCTGGATACAAGCGTTTCAAACATCAAAAGGCATTCCAAACTTTAAAACTCTACCTTTTGACTTTTTTGTTTTCTTGTGAGATCTTTAAAAAGCATTATTATTTGCACAGACTAGATTT